CCTAATGACCACGCCCCCTGCTATTCTGGTGCGTGCAGCAGCTGTTGGACAGCTGACCTCTGTCTGCTGTGACCTCCTCCTTCTCCTCCTCCCTGCAGATGAGGACTCTTTGGAGGCCAGTCAGTCCATGGGGTCGGACTCTCCCCCCCAGCGGCTGTCGCGAGTGGAGAGCCAGTGCTCATCGAGTCCTGGGGGGCCGGGCTCTGTGGGTCCGGAGCTGCCGCAGCCCTTTTCTACCTCCCCCTTCCCCAGCGAGCCCCTCCTGCAGAGGCAGCTCCTCTCACCGCACTTCAAGCGGGACCCTGGCGCCCTGCCGGTGTTCCCCACGGCCCTGTACACAGCCAAGGTGGCGCTCCTATCTGCCAGACAGGGCCCACCATCGGGGGGCGGGGAGGCCGGTGGGGCCAGCGACCAGTCGGAGAGCAGCAGCTGCAGCGCCGGGGACGAGGAGCAGCTGGACACGGTGGAGATCGCCTACCAGGTGAAGGAGCAGCTGCTGAAGCACAACATCGGCCAGCGTGTGTTCGGTCACTACGTGCTGGGCCTGTCGCAGGGCTCCGTCAGCGAGATCCTGGCTCGGCCCAAGCCCTGGCGCAAGCTCACCGTCAAGGGCAAGGAGCCCTTCATCAAGATGAAGCAGTTCCTGTCCGATGAGCAAAACATCCTGGCCCTAAGGACCATCCAGGTCCGTCAGCGCGGTGAGTGACGCCTGGACACACGCAAGTCAGCTGACCGTTAAGTGTTTTGCCGCCTGACTGGTCGTGAGCTCCGTCAGCCCGTTCTCCTCTCTCCTCTGTTTGCTGTTACTTTTAACTTTGTTTTCTCCTCTGATTTCCCAGCTTTTATAAAGCGAGCTTCTCGAAAAGCCGCAGCCTCACAGATGCCAAGAGCTCAAAGGCAGCCATTGATCTGTCAGTCAGAAGCGGAGCCTTCGCTCCCAGCTCCTCTCATCTGCCGTTCCACTCACCTCTCCCCTTCTCTTTGTCACACTCTTTCTCTCTCTCCCTCTCTCCCCTCGACAGGAAGCATAACTCCACGCATCCGAACTCCAGAAACTGGGTCAGATGACGCTATTAAGAGCATCTTGGAGCAGGCCAAGAAGGAGATCCAGTCCCAGAGAGGAGGTCAGTATGGCTGCGGGGGGTTTCTGTTCACCGTGACACGAGGTGGGAGTTCAGGTCCAGCCTCTACACGCTGACACATTCAAGGTCACATGACATGAATCTGTATCCAGTGTGAAATGAGGTGAAAGTGTCATCCTGTACCTCAAGGTCAGGTTAGTGTGGATAATGAAGGTAAGAGAGTGACCTTACCCTGTGTGTGTGTGTGTGTGTGTGTGTGTGTGTGTGTGTGTATTATGTTTATATTACACTGTTGGGACCAAATGTCCCCACAATGTAATAAAAATCCCACAAAGATCCCCACAAAGATCTGTGACCACAATCAAAAAATAAAAATGGCAAAAGTCTTGTATTTTGTTTAGTTACTTAAGGTTAGGGCTGGGTAAGGGTTAGGGTTGTCATGTTGACATTAGGGGTTTTCACCATAGGAATGAATGGAGAGTCCCCACAAAGATATGATTACAATCTGTGTGTGTGTGTGTGTGTGTGTGTGTGTGTGTGTGCTTATGCACAGCAGGTGAAGGCAGGCCTTCCCCGAGCAGCTCGTCCTCCAGGACCTGCGACGGCAGCGGCTCAGATGCCACCATCAGGGTCATCCTGGAACAGGCGCGGCGAGAGATGCGGGCGCAGCAGCAGGCGCTGATGGAGATGGAGGCGAGCGAACACGGCAAGGCTGACGTGGGCGGGGTCCAGGCCGAACGCCCCCCCCTCATCACCCCGCCGCTGGGGCCGCCGCCACCTGCCTTCATCAAGCAGGAGGACGGGGGCACTGAGCCTGTAAGTGCAGCCGGGCCCCCGCTGAGCCTGCTGTCCCCCGCCGCCTTCGTGCAGAATATCATCCGCAAGGTGAAGTCCGAGATCGGCGACGCCAGTACCTACTTTGAGCAGCACTGGTCGGCTGAGCGGGGTGGACCCTCGGGGCCGGTGCCGGGCGGGGACAGACACCCACGGCTGCTCGGCTCTGCCTCCTCCCCTGGCCGCTCCCCGCCGTCCTTAGCACCCTCTACTCCATCCCGCCCCTGGCCCCGCCCAGCAAGCACCGAGGGGCAGGCGGTCAGCGAGGACGGGGCGGGCCAGCCGGTGGAAGTGAAGGTGGAGGCGAAGTCGGAGGCGGAGACCTCATGCGGGGGGGAGGCAGCGGCGGCTGGCCGGCTCTCCTACTACCCGCCGTACGTACCCCGCGCCCTCAAGCCCACGGTGCCTCCGCTCACGCCCGAGCAGTATGAGACGTACATGTACCGTGAGGTGGACACCATCGAGCTCACCCGGCAGGTCAAGGAGAAGCTGGCCAAGAACGGCATCTGCCAGCGGATCTTCGGGGAGAAGGTGAGCTTCCCGTACCGTCGAGTCTCGCCCCTGTTTGCCTGGCAAAGTGCCCGCTTGTCATGGGCATTTGTGGTGGTGACTTTTGTCCTGAAGTGATTGTATCGCTCCCTTGGCGGTCTAGACCTTCCCCTAACATATTGCTCTGTGACTCTGCATATTAACAAGCTACATTTGATATGTGTGCAGTGACAGGCTGCTATATGACTGTATATAAGTCCACGCATTCAATTGCAATTCAATATATCATAAGGCAGCTACAGTAAGCCTATAGAACTCTGCTGAGCCCCTGTGTCTGAAAATGGTGCTTTGCTGCCCCCTATTGGATAGTTGTAGGTTAGTCCTGGCCTTGAGTAAAGCTTTACTGTTGGCTGCTGTTTTGTCAGCATGTGTGATGGTCAGACCCTGCAGTTTATTTCATCTATTTTATTTATGCTTTTGGGAGGAAATCGATTCCTTTTCCAGGATCACAGAGGACATTCCTGAATCTCACACTCGCTCATTTACCCGGCTGCCTTCTAGCTGCCTCTTTCGTACATAGTCGCTGTGAGCATGCAGCCTGCCCCGGCGAGGTGGCGGGGGGCTACCCTGCACACCATGCATTGCTGCATTATTTCCTGTTACTTACAGTCTGTTGTAATTGTTGATTAAGGAATGTTTACTCAGCAAATACTCAGGTTATGAGAGTTTCTCATAACAGTGTTTCTCAGTACGGTCCTCGGGGATCCCCAGACAATCCCCAGTTCTGCTCCCTCCCAACTCCCAGGGCACCTTGGCCAGTCATTCGGTGTCCTTGATTGCTTGGTTTGTTCTTACCAGTTTGGTTAAGGTGTTCTGGGGCCCTGGGGGTCCCCCAGGATGGGGGTGAGAAACACAGACATGTGAAGGGAACTGAGTCGCTTAGAAACAGCCTGAGCACAAATCGGACAGGGCCTGCGGGGGGGAACTCGATACACAGGGCGAATAGCATTAAGCGTGACGGAACCTGCAAGGGCAACCATCAGAAAGACCCCCCCTCACTCAGCGAGCCTAACCACCCACCCCCCACAGGTGCTGGGCCTGTCCCAGGGCAGTGTGAGCGACATGCTGTCCCGCCCAAAGCCCTGGAGTAAGCTGACCCAGAAGGGCAGGGAACCGTTCATCCGCATGCAGCTCTGGCTGCTGGAGCAGCTTGGCCAGACGCAGAACCCGGCATGCAGCAAGGGAGCCTCGCTGGGTGGGTCAAAGGTCGAAGGTCACTGCCAGCCACAGTGCGTGGGCTATTTCACACTGACTCATTACACACTATGCTTCATTAATACTCTCCTTGGGGAACATTGATATTCTAATAAAATACTGCACCAGATACAGTAATGCTACTTGTGGAAAATGGTAAAACTATAGCCTTTATATTACAATTTAGTGCTATATGTGGGTGACACTATAGTTGCTTTACATTGTCATATGCATTAATACTGTAATACTCTATATATATTTATTAGTATTCAGTCTATATTGTTTTTGAAAAGCACTGAAGCACATGGGCAGTATGGTGGCTCTACACGTAGCGCTGCTGCTTCACACCTCCAGCAAGCTGAACCCACCCAGTGAGAGTGGAGATTACATGATTCTCATGATGTCTAGGTTTCATACCACCGTCCAGAGACATGCAGGAGTGTGAGAGTGTGTGAGTCCTGCGAGAGATGGGTGTCCTGGCCCGGGTGTGTCTCTGCATGAGTGTGTGAGTGCTGACCCTGTGCTGTGACCCCCAGATTTGTGCTCAGCTGTAGGTGTCTCATGGAGAACAAGAAGGGGTAGACAAACAGGGAATTTCCCCAGGGATTAACCCTCTGGGGTCGATGGCATCGTCGGCGATGCCGCGTATCTTTCTCGTGTATTTCAGTTCATAAATCGGTGAAATCTTATTGTAGAAACATGAAAAAATGCTGACTAAATACGTAATCTGTCTTCTTTTCAAAAAGTCCATTGTCAGAAGTATTAAAGTTTTTAAAATTAGGTTAAATAGACAAAAAAGTAAACCATGTCACCTTACTTAGTTTTACCTGCATCGGGGGCGTGTAGTACCGCTCTCACCCGAAGATCCCTATTCACATTCTAAATAGCTGCATTAGCGCGTATTCAAATCGCATTCGCATGGTAATTTGATGAACAACACAGCGGTGAAACACGATCCAGATACATCCCCATCAGCACCATAAAAGGGGGGGGGAGAGGTGTGTGTTCAGGTGTGAATGGCTCATTCATACACATGAGAGCTCCTACATATTCAATGATAGGAGACCAGAAATAGTGACATGAGTTCGGTTTTTCTTATTTATTTATCCAACTGAATGTTGCAACTACACCATTTAGTCATCTTGTCTTATGAGGAGAGGTTAGCTGAGCTGAATCTGTTTAGCCTCGAGCAAAGGAGACTATGGGGGGACATGATCCAGGTCTATAAGATTCTAACGGGTCTGGATGCTGTTCAGCCAAATAGTTACAGTACTTCAATATTAGTTTAAATACTAGAACTCATGGACATAAGTGGAAATTAGCGGGAGAACATTTTAAATGAAGTTTGAGGAAGCACTTCTTTACACAGCGTGTAGTTAGAGTATGGAATAGTCTTCCTGCTAGTGTAGTGGAAGCTAAAACCCTGGGTTCCTTTAAATCAGAGCTAGATAAGATTTTAACAACTCTGAGCTATTAGTTAAGTTATCCCCAAACGAGCTTGATGGCCTCCTCTTGTTTGTAAATTTCTGTTCTTATGTTCATGTAGCCAAGACTTAGGTGATCAGATATCAAAGCAAACTTCCACCATTGCTTACTATGTAATAGTAACTGGAAAACTTATACTTTTGTGTCAAATTACAAACTTCACATAAATCTGACATATTTACAAAGTACACTAAGATTAAGATGAGTTTAATGCCAAAACAAATGTATAATAAATAATTTATTTGCCATGAATTAAGTTTATGATATTGAATGAAATGTGTGACCATCCCCCAGTCAGGGAGTGTGTTTCCTACCCCTAGACCACAGAGGGTTAATAAAGTATCACTATTCCTTACTCCTTCTGCTCTATGTCATCATCAGAATGTTGGATGTTTCAATGAAGATATTCGGTTTTAGTGCCCTGAGCTGCTCCAGCTGCCCCCTGCTTTCCCTGCACATTACTGTCCCGGCTCCACTGGGGGTCCACCGCAGAGTCTGAGCTTTGTCCCGATGTCCCTCTCCTGTAGAGAGGAGCCCCCTGCCAGCCCAGTCCTCGCCCTCCCCACCCCCGAGCCCAATGGAGAGCCAGCCCAGCCCACAGGGGGAGCCGGAGAGTCCGCGCCTGGACGGGACTAAGGAGAACCAGCAGCCCGGAGCCCTCAGCCCGGAGCCGGACCTGCTGGTGGCGACGGCGTCACCCGGCCTGGCTCCCCTGCACCCCCAGCACGCCTCGCTGGGCATCCAGGAGCTGGTGGCCATGTCCCCTGAGCTAGACACCTACTGCATCACCAAGAAGGTTAAGGAAGTGCTCACAGACAACAATCTGGGTGAGCGTGTGGGGCGTGGGGCTCAGCTGACCCCAGAGGCCGATTTCACCTTCAGCTTCTCTGCTTCGCTCAGATCTGATCTCCTCAGAAGCGTCATTTCTCTTCTTATTTTCATCTAGTGCATTTACCCAAATCACAGCATATTCCTTTGATGGTTCACTCATTCATTCCTCCATCCATTCATCCTATGTTAGAGTGTATCCAGTGTCAGATGAGCGGAGCCTGGAGCATCGGGTGCCTGGGTGCCTGCAGAGGCATCACCAGACCCAGCTTAGGGGGACATGTACCAAATGGGAGAAATGTTGCTGTGCCCTCTTGTAATTACATACAAAAAAAATCAAAAAAGCCAGGAAGTTTTCTAATTTTATTCTGGACTGTGAGCAGCATAAAAAAGCACCGTCAGCCAGTCCCTGGACCAAATGGGAGTTAAGGGCCCAACCCCAGTATCCCCCCCCCAGGCCCAGCTGCATTTTCTTAAGTGCCCCCCCTCCAGCTTGTCTGATCCCATGAAATCATAGTATGATGTCTGGGCTCTATGAAAATGGAAATGTGCAAATATTTAGCGGGTGGTCAAACGACACAGCAAACACTAAGGTAAGCGTTAAGGCGCTAGGCAGCCCTGCCTGTAACTCACCAGCAGAAACACAAAATAACCCCTTAGATCAAAGGCATTCGTGAAGTTAGCAACAAGAATATTATATTTCATTTTCAAATAAAAGGGGCATTGTAGAATTAATAACTGCTCGTTTTGTGAGCTTGTTATTATGGTGTAATGCAAAGGACAGCGTCTAACCCCCCCCCCCCACACAATTTTATATGTGTAAAATGCAAATAAAAGAAATATGAGGGGGAAAAAACAGTTTTATAGCTACTTTGGAATATTAAGGACAATTTAGGGGCGCCATTCACATAAGAGTGTGTAATGAAAACCACACAAGGAGGGAACATGCTGATCTCACACACACACACACACACACACACACAGAGCGGGGCTGGGATTCAAACCCCTATTCTAAGAGGTGAGGGGCATGGTGTGTGGGGGTGGCTGCGATGTGCGCGTGCAGGTGCATAACAGACATGTCCCCCGCGGCTCCTCAGGGCAGCGCCTCTTTGGCGAGAGCGTCCTGGGCCTGACGCAGGGCTCCGTGTCGGACCTCCTGTCCCGGCCCAAACCCTGGCACAAGCTGAGTCTGAAGGGCCGTGAACCCTTTGTGCGTATGCAGCTGTGGCTGAGCGACCCGCACAGCGTGACCCGGCTGCGGGACATGAAGAAGGTGGAGAAGAAAGGTACGTGTGCAGGGGGTGGGGGTGGCATGGGGCATGAAGTAGATGGAGAAGGGTAGGGGTGCAGGGGGTGGGGCCAGGCTGGGGCTTTTACTTTAGCCTCAGAAACCCCTGTGGTAGCCTGGCTCAAGCTTTCATGTAAGTTAACTACTTTACCAGTTTACCTGCAGAGGTGGAAAGTTCAGGTCCAGAAAGTACAAATCCAGACCAAGGTTTTGTTTCAACCAACCAGTTGAGGATAAACAGTCACAGTCACAGAGTACTTAAGTATTTGATTGAAAGAAAACCTGAACTTTCCACTTCTTTTAACCTGGCCATTTGATCCAGTTTACCTGCTTATATAGCTGCGTGTCTTACTGGTTCAGGATGAAGCCCCTCCTAAGCTCACCTTTCAGGGCACAAGCAGCCCTCCCTGGCTTGACCCTAAAACCTCTTTAAATCCTAACACTAACCACTATGCCTAAACCCTGGTTGTAAAACACTAACCCCCATCACTAAAACACTCCCCCCCACCCAGCCTACCTGAAGCGGCGGTACGGCCTGCTGAGCAGCGCCGGATCAGACAGCGACTCTGCGGGGGCGCGGTCTGACTGCGCCAGCCCCACCCCCTCTGGCGAGCCCTGCCCATTCAGCCAGCCCAAGAAGCCTCGAGTGGTGCTGGCAGCCGGGGAGAAGGAGGCTCTGAGGAGGTCCTACCTGCTGGAGCCGTACCCCTCACAGCACACCATTGATGCACTGGCTGCCCAGCTGAACCTCAAGACCAACACCGTCATCAACTGGTTTCATAACTACAGGTGAGGTCAGAGGTCAGACATCACCACCAAGTCACATGTCCAGCATGTGACACATACACCAGGCAATATGCAGAAATAATACTCAGTTTTCATTGATTTTTTAAATTCGATCCTTGTTTGATTTTAACTGATTCTTTAAAAACAGAACAGATTTTACACGGATTTTACGCTGGAAAAAAATAACAGACCACAGCAGCATTTTTTGTTTCACTCATTTCTCGATTTATGGGTGTACATCTCTGGATAATATATTTTATTTTTTTGCAAATTGCAGCTTGGCTCTTCTCTGTTTCTCATTAATGAAGGACTTCTTCCTTGTTTTACAGGACTTCAGTCCTGTTTCTGGGAGCCTGATACAAACTATCCTAGCAGTGCACTTCACACCTGCACTAATCTCTTAGTGTCTTAATTTTTTCCAGAGCTGTTCATGTAACCTTCTCCCACCTATGCCCATCTCTGCCCTGACTTTGGCTGTGATTTTTTTTTCCCAGGTCCCGGATGCGACGCGAGGTCCTAAGAGATGGTCTCCAGGACAACGACATGGAGGTGGAGCCTGCCCGTTATGCCACACCCCCTCTGCAGAGCCCTGCCTCAGATGTGGAGGCCGGGAATCAGCAAACAGCCCCGGCTGAGCACATTGTGGCAAGACACAGCCACCTGCCTAATGGTACCCAGCAGCCCGCTGGCGTCAAGCAGGAGGCCCCTGAGATGAAGAATGAGGATGATGAGGATGAAGAGGAAGAGTGTACAGCAAAGCGGAGGTCCAGGAAGCATCAGCATCCAAGCACCGAGGCGATGCTGGAAAAGGTGCCACTATACATGCGCTGGTGTGCCGCAGGCCTCAGGGACGATGGGACCCCCACCTCAGGCACCCCGCCCCCCGGGGGCCTTCAGAGGGTCGCCCGGCAGGAGGGCGAGGACAGCGACACACCCACCGTCGACCCGGTCAGCTTCAGAGGCTCCTCAGAACCCGCCCGTAGCAGCCTGGTGGTGTCGCTGAACTCGCCCTCCGCTGCCTCCTCGCCGGGCCTCATGCTGTCCGTGTCCCCCGTCCCCTCATGCTCCGCACCAATTTCCCCATCCCCCCCCAACCCCGTCGGGCCAAGCCCCAGCCCCTCAGCCCCCTCGCAGAATGCCAAGCTCAACCAGAGCACGCAGAGGCGCAATGAGAAGATGGCTAACCTAGACAACATCATTCACCGGCTGGAGCGGGCCGCCAACCGTGAGGAGATGCTGGAGTGGGAGTTCTGATGCACAGCCTCGACGCGGGAGTCACAAGCCATGATGGAGATGCAGGACTCCGGAAGGAACTGTGCAAGGAGGGGCGGGGTGGGTGAGCTGCTGCAGTACCTCTCCCTGCCAGATGGGGGTGCGTAGCTCCTCTCATCAAAGTGCTGCCTCCCACTCCAGCCAGACCCCCCCCACCCCCGAAACACTTTGGGGAAGGAGAAGCTGTCTAACAGCTGCCCAACACTCAGAAACTCCTCAAAAGAAATTTTTACGGAAGGAAAGAAGAATTTATAAACGTTTTATGTATTTTGATAAAGGACATTACTTCAAAATGTACTGTATTTAACAGCCCTAGCTGTTGCATTTTAAATAACAGGAAACAAAAAACAAACTCGGGATGAGAAGAGTTTGTAGCTGCGGTGTCATTAAATGCCCCTTTGTTCTCTAGTTTGCCACTGGGTGAGATTAACTAAAGACTTTGTCTTAAGCCATCAGAAAGCACTATAATTATTTAAAAAGACACTGACCAAATTTGCTACTTTTTGCAAAAGCAATTTTTTCAGAGTTTTGTTTTTGTCTTTAAGACGTAACGTAAAATACGAAACGGTTACAGGTGAAATCATAATAAATATGACTGCGGAATAGTCCTCAAAGACTCTAAATAGCTAACCTGAGTAATGTATGTAGTTTCCTGCTGAAATGTTTTGGAGCCTCTGTAATAAGAGAAGCGTGTTATGTGTGGTTGTACCTGTCGTAGAGACGTCTGCAGTAGCTTCCTCTCCTCCTCTGCTCACAGCATAGCATGATACCCAGAGGATCCACCCCCCCCCCCCCCCCCCCCCCCCGACACACATTCCTTTAGATTTAGCCTCATGTGAGCGACTTGGGGGAAAAAAGACAAAAACAATGAAAAATATAGGAAATGCTAATTTCAAGAATAGAGCTTTGGTTGTGGAAGTTGTAGTATTATTTTCAGTATTGCAGCCACGGTGAACTCAACGTTAGCTTTTTTTTTTACTTTTTTTTATCTCGAGTTTGTTGCATATTTACCTCAAAAACTGTCCACGCACTGACTGTCCATTGCTGTTCTTTGTGTTGGTTGTTTTTTTTTTTTGTAATTTTGCTAGCGAACAAAAAAAGCACGTAGTCCCCAACTCTGCAAGCCGGCATGCTCCCGGAAACCGTCCCCAGCTGCCTCCGCGTGGATGAAGACCCCTGCCTGCCGTATAGATTACATCAACCCAGTGCCCCCCGCCTTAGAGAAGTGATATGAAGAGGGAACAAAAACCAGCTCTATTGGTATAGAATGTGGTTGATAAAACCACAGCCAAGATGTTAGATGTGACCAAAATAGCACTTATTAAAAGGGATTTAGGCATTGAGCAATGCTCATAATGCGCTAATGATAACTGATTATGCCATGTGTTTGATACCTGGTTAAACTGGTTCATTTAATTGTTTATGAATAGTCATTCCCCCTCCATAACTGCTCAGAAGTGCCAGTGAAGATATGACTGCATGTATCCCCCCACACAGCAGCCTCTGCGCTGGCTTCACCACATCTGCGTCATGTTTCCATTTGGATTCAGCAAAGCGCTTTGACTGCGAGAGCCAGCCAGACAGTTTCTGAGAAATACATGTTAATTTGGCCCCGCAGCACAATGTAAAGCTGCCCGTCTCTGTGACTGCTCAGCCCACTTCGTTTTTATATGACCTCTGTGCGACACCTGGGTTATCAATCCAGTAATGCAGGTTAGAAGATGAAGTTGGCAGAAGACCTCATTCAGGAAGGTTAGCTATGAATCTGGACCTACTGAATCCTGCTATCGTCTCATAGCCAATGTCTGGTAGACAGCATCATGCGCTGCAAATAGTGGTTACCAGTAATAGCACTTGACGGTGTTTTGTTTTTATGTTTTATGTTTACACTCATCTTAACACTGCTGCTGTCCATACAGAATGTGTGTTGAGTTTCTGCTTCTAGGAAGGTGGGGGGAGAGAACAATACACCTGCAACAGAACTGGATCATCTAGTTTTTAGTGTTTCCGGTGTCACCTCACTTCTTGCCTTTGAACACTAAGCCAGAATTTAACAAGAGCTTGGATTTCCTCTCCTGTGAGGTGAGATGCTGCTGCTGTCACAAGGGCACACAACTGATCCAGACAACGCCAGGTTTTATTACTCCTGGATATAAGTGTCGATATGCGAACTGTGGAAAAGACTTTGTATAGAAAAATACTGTTGCCAAAAGGAGGCCCCAGTGAACCAATGAAAATGCTCAGTACGTGATGAAACTGACGTGACGAGGGTTTGTTTCAAACCCGAGAACCAAAAGCCTTGACACGCTGTTTGTCCAGATCCTTCAACGTCACATCTCGACATAGGGGGAAGGACGAATCCACCGATACGGACTGAAAGGCCACTTCTGTGCCTAGTTGCAGATATAATCACCCAGTCTGTTCTTTTCACACATGAGATCAGTGAATTCTGTTTAGGCCACCTGGCACCGTCATGTCATAGAGTAGCCAGCGTGAGGCGCCCTGCTGTAGCTCTGGTACAGACCCCTCGAAGCACTTAGGTTTTGCGAATTGTGAAGAATCAGTCAAGTTATTTGAATTGTTTAAATTTTCTAATTAAAGGTTCCACTACTAGTCTTTACCTTTTCGATGTGTTGTTGAAGTTGGTAGTAAACAATTGCACATGTTTTAATAGTACAGAACGATGGACTTGTATATTGTCTACAAAATATAACATGTTAGATATTATTGAAACAAATGTGCTGATTATATTGAAATATAGTGTACAGATTTATTTACGAGGCCCACAAACTCGTCCAGACCTAAAGAAGCTCAGCCACCTTGAAGGCCTTTTCTCAGGATAGCCTCGTGTGGGCCGTGCAGAAAATACTCCCCACTCCTGAACTTCCTGCTTCTGGAAGAGTCACCCGCACACTGACAGGAACAGACGTTACCCCCTAGTGCCCTTCGCGGAAATTGTCAGACTGCAGAGTGGGAAGACTTCCTGTGTAATCGAACACCATAATACAGACCATTGAGGTTTGCTCACAGTAATGGCTGCTTTGTAACCAGGGCAGGTGGTATTGTTTAAACCACATGAATTATGTTACCACTCAGCGGTGGCTGTACAGAAGTATTAACTTGGATGATGGAGAACAAGGAAAGATAGTTCCTTCCCTGAGACTTTTCATTAAAAAATGTTTGGTTATTGTTGCTGTGTAAATTTTCTTTATAGTTCTTTTGGTATGGTTGATCTTAAAATATCGGATAAAAGCAAGAATGTTTATGTCCTGTGCTGAACAAATACGTATTGAGCTGGCTGTGACTTCCACAGATTTTCGCTCAGAGATTTTGTTCGAAAGTAACATGGCATCTTGCACATTCCTTACTATTTAATGACATATTGTTATCCCACCAGATCAGATATGCCTAGCATAGCACCAACCCTTACTCTCTGTACTGTGTTTAATATATATATATATATATATATATATATATATATATATATATATATATATATATATATATGAGTCCTAGTGTGCTTATGAGAGGTCCTGGCGGAATAGGTGAATCTACAGAGTCACTGCTGAGGGGAAAGCCTTTCGTGTTCCAGGATAGCTTGGTGATTAAGGACAGAGGCTTGTAATCTGAAGCTTGATGTCCACAGAGAGACACTGGTCTTGTACCCTAGAGCAAGATACTTAACATGAAATGATCCAGCGAAAAATATAGAGGTTGTATAAAGGATGGAAACCAGCTGAGTCTTTCGGTGATGCCTGTCAAATGAAGGCCCAGCCCTCACCCTTGCACTCAGGGAGAAAGGCACAGGGAGTAATGGTTAGATTGAAGATGAACTGAACATTTACACATTCATAGCTCAGTGTTCGTAGTAGCTGCCACAGTCCTTTGGGTGTCACACAGAGCCGGGACTCCAGAGCGCCTGCCACAGCAGCACCTACATGTAGCTGTAGCACGAGGAGGATGACTGATCATTAACATTAGAGCTTCCTGTAAGGTCCAATCAAAGAGGCGAATGGTGGGAACCCCCCTACCCACCCAATGCAGAAACAGCACGGTACTTCATTGACATTTAATCCAAGTGACACATTCTGGATGTGGGGGGTTAGTATATAATTTTCATTAAATCTAAAACATCTAAGATTCTATTTCAAAAGAAGATGATAATTTGATGTTATGCATTCCAAAATCACATTTCATCAGGTCACTATTTTACATTATTGTAGCTGGTTTATTTTACACTGTTCTATATTATTCTGCAGCATCCTGCTTGTGTTAAGATTATTAACGATGGTCTACATTGTTGGCTTTCCGAAGCTGAGCAGTGATGTTCTCTGCCGTCCTTTTTGCTGCACTACACGCAGGACACTATCGAATATAAATCCCACGGGATTAAAAAAAAAAAAAAAAGACTTCTGTCTGTCATATGCCGATATTAAAAGATTCGTTAATACTGGACATATTTTTTCAAAATCTCTCTCTCAGTAACCGTGTCCTTGTCAGTTTAAGTGTATGAGATAATATGCTCTAATATACTAGTTACCAAATTGGTTCAGTAGAGTTTTAGGAACTGGATGTAAGTTACCCGCACGCACAAACCAAACGAGTGGAGATTCATGTTCACATATTTTACAAAATTTCATGACCAATGAAACTATTTGTTTTGTTGTTTGAGAGAAAATAGTGTGCATAAGTATTATTCTTGTGTAATTAACAACCACGACTCGATTAAATATATTGATCATAAAATGATGCCCGTACTGTCCCGTGTCTTGGCATTCTTCTGTTTTGTACATTCTGATTATCCTTTTCTCGAAATATGACTACTGTGCCAGCCATGTTGGGTGCTGCAATATTGGACCCGTTTCACAGTTACACGGCGAACTCAGCAGTAAAAGCCGGACCTTCATGAGCGGTCCTGGGCAGAGCTCGTAGAGGTGGCCCCTACGACATTGATGCGAGCGCAAGGTACTCCCTTCATCTGCTGATTTTTTTAAAGATTTTCCATGCCTGCGATAGGTTGATGGTAAGGCCTGGGTTATTCCCTGCCTTCCCCCCTTACCTTATGGATAAGCTCCGGACCCCCGCGACCCTGAATAGTACAAGCGGTTTCTGTAAATGGATGAATGGATGGATTTGCTGACATTCCGTCGGGCAGTATATTTATATCTACAGCAGAAAAATGGTTTGTTATACATGTAACTAGTTGAAACAAATAATTGAACACGTCCAGGACTAATGAAAAAAACTTAATAAATAAAAAGAAAAGTTTAAAAATGCAATTTAAAACTAAAAAACTGAAATTTCTAAATTCCACAGAGACAGGGATTACAATGCATGAGCAGTGCAGCTGAATGGTCATTTGAAGGAAATCGTACGGATATTTAGCAAGCAGTTTAGTTTCTTAGATAGGCTACGTATAGTAAAATCTAACGAAAATACATTTTCCTGTTTTGTGCGCATTCTCAGCGGAGCTCTACTAAGTTACTTTTGTTCCATACATCAATTACCAGCTACTATCCGGCCTGTTTACATTCACGGTTACCACAGTGATTAACACATTCTAAGTCTGAGGGCGTAAAAAGTGTAATTATCAAGTCAAACACTCATGATTTATTTTCGCCGTTTCGAGCCTTTTACGTTTTTATGTATTTTCAATAATTCGTTCATTTGAATAACGACCTAGAAAAAAGATTTTAATCGGTAAAGCTGTATACAGTGTAACAGCGATGCGATACAAGACTATGGTTTCTCCCTAAAATCGAGGGGGAAACGAAAGTACCGCTGT